CTGAATAACATGGCTTCTATACTGGACACAGTGTGTGCACTTGAGAAGATTCTGCTGCTACACAACAAAAGATTCAATCATCAGGATCAGAGATGTGGTACAAAACGAGTGACTTTCACATTTCTTCTTCAGTTCACAAAAGAACATATTTCAAAAGCTTCTCTCAAGCACCACACATATTGCAGATTCTTTCACAGCTTCAGCAACTCAGCTTCTAAAGACTTTTCRTGCTAAAGTTCATGCCAAACAAGGCTTTTGGTTTGTCAAAAACTTCATCAACTAAAGCTGTTAATGCCAGGGAAGTTGAGCAGGTTTTCTAAGCTCACCATTCACACTGCTTGGACAGTTTAGGGCAGGGAGGAAGAAACAAAAAGAAACAGTGAGGACCAGGAGTCAACAGTTCAAGAATTTGAACTACAGTCTTATGAAGAAAAAGGCAGATAAAAAATAGGAAAAGGCATTTAGCAAAACTGAAGAAAAGAAGAAAAACATGGTGGTGAAAACCCCGAATCAAAGCCCATTTTCCAGGAGCATGCAAGCCTTAAACAAAACCATGGATTTGGTACGATTCAAACAAGTTACAAAACATGGAAAATTCCATTACTTTCTCTTCACAGAAGACACAGCAGCAGCTATCGTCTTTCAGAGAAAAAGAAACCTGAGGGAAAACGCCTATAGATTGCAGTTTTGAAACAATAATTTTCATTCACMATTTCCTTTCATTTCTACAAAAATATTTTCCATCTAGCATGAAGATTTTGAGACATTATTTTTGGGAAAAGCTGGAGGGTATGTGTGGGCAATACAAACAGAGGCTTTAATGGAAAAAACTAGTCAGAGCATTAACAAATGACAGACTATTATCCTTTGGTAATTAACTGACATGATGGTACTTTCCCTTGCTTTTCTTTATTTTTAAATAAAGGATACTGTCTCATGTCCTGTTAACTACTACAGAATGGTTCTCAATGTACTTGCAAATGCTGTATTCACTCAGTTACAGCAGTGATTTTCTTTGAAACAAAGAATAAAGAAAAACCATGCAAGGACAAACTACATGTTTCAAAGACTAAATTAAGAAGTGTAATAAAGATGTGCAATTAAACAATTTACAGAACTGTTAGGCTTGTGAATCTTCCTTTTTTGGTTTTTGCCCTTTTAATTCTTGCAAATGCATAATGGCAACTTACTGCATTCTGTCCCTTACATCTAGGATGCCTAGAGAATTTGCAACCATACCAAGGCCTCACAGGTATGGTAACCCAGGAAAACAACTTCATGCTTTTCAACAGCCAGAGGGAAGACTTAAAAGCAACCATAAATATTCCCAAGATGCAAAGAATATTTGGATCAACAGCTATACAAAGATGCAGAATGACAAGCTAGCCTGACAAGAAAACCCTCTAAAAAAGATAATCACTACATAATTATGATTTCATATGAAGAAACATTTGAAGGGTAATTAAAACTGTCTGTAAGGGATTTTAACCAAATGCACCATCTATCTAAARCATGAGATAAGTTTGTAGTGCACTAGTATGTCTCAGTTCATACAGCCTCAGCAAAACTTTGCTCATAATTACTTCTGGGCATTCCAGGAACAAGAAATAGACTGCAACACATGATATGAATATAAAAACTAGTAAGAAACTGATGTGACTTCAAAAACAAACAAAAAAAAATTTATAAGAGGTTGCTTGYGAACTGAATCACTGCAGAAGTGTTAAATCATGCAGCAAGTTTGCCAGTTTCAAAGCCCTTACTGTGCAAGTCGGCCAATCACYGCTCACTGTAAAAACAAAACAAAAGAAAACAAAAAATCCCACAGAAATTAGGAATCTGCTTGTTCTTCAAGTTTGTGGCAGTTACAAAAAAATGAAATCAATCTTGTTTTCTTCTTTGGCTAGTCTGATACAATGTCTTTCTTATCTCCGAAGCTTCCCTCTTTGCAATCAGCATTAAGGCCAGTATGTGACTCTCTAGGCTCAAATGCCTTTCATGGAACCACAGAATCATAGAATCATTAAGGTTCCATCTCCAAGATTGAGTCATCTCATTCCCAGCTACATCTCAGGTCTAGTTAAGTCTTTCACGGTTAAAGTTTGCAAGATCTTATCCTCTGATGTCTGTGACAATTTACCTCCAGCAAGCTCTAGATAAGGCATTAATAAGTGAAGAGTCTGACATCAGCTAGAATTCCTTCTAATACATTTGATTATCCCTTTACATGCTGATGAGATGTTTGTATATAATGCGTGGGAACCAGCCATATCTCACTTGAAAAATCAAGACTCACTACATGTGTCCAAAATAGCTGCATTAATGCTGTGTAGTACTTCCTAATTTTGGACAGCTAGAAAAACACGAAACTAATGAAGTCCTACTTCACAAAGATTAGTATCCCCTTCCTTATGTGCCAAATACCCCCTCCTATCTGCCCCTTTGCTGCTCTGTTCCTCTGAGACTCACACKTCATTAAGTTGCCCATAAACGTGTACCAAACTCTTGCAAACTCTGCTYCTAAAAGAAGAGCAAGCTGTGTGTCTTCTCCCAAGTGAATATCAAGGCGCAGGGGTCAGAGGCTGTGAATTCCATCTGGAGCCCCTTACTGACACCAGAGGAAGAAAACATGAGACAGTGTTCCCCTTAATGCTCCCTAACAACTGACTTTAACWGATCATCAAGGTCTCTATTGGTATTTCCCTCTGGCACGCTCAATCAATCTCATTCTCTTTAAGGGCTATSTAAAACTTTTGCCTCACCCTTTGAAATGGACAGATATGGAGGCCTAAATTTCAGGCATTACTGAGGTTTATGCTACCCAATTTCTCTATAAATCTGCTTCTAAGTAAGGCATGCTCAGGACGTGAATTTTGGGATTAAAAGGAAAAGGCATTGAAGAGAAAATACTTAAGCAACTGTGGGTTTCTTCTGGGGATGCATTATCTCAATCTTCTCAAGCATCAATACAGAATGATAACTGTTCTTAAACACAGCATGAAATATATGACATGATATAGCATCATTATGGATCACAGCTTAATGAACCTCTAAATTTAATTTTGTTCATAAACAGCAATCAGGAAAATTAATAAAACTACCTCTTAGAGTAGCATTGCCTTCAACGCAGTCTCCATACCAGCTCATTTCCACATCATCAGGAAAACAATGGTTTTCCCCTCCTCCTGCTGCTTATGTTCCTTCTTTTAAGAAAATTCAAAAGAATAAAAAATTTATTCTATTTTCCTCTTCCCTCACCATGCAAGAAAAAAATTATTTCCCTACAAGATCATACTGTATTTTTAATGACTCACAAAATTGTGAGTATTTAGAAAGCACCATTCACCCGATTTCTGTATCACTTTTAAATTTCATTTAACTCTAGCACTTTCTTACTTTTTCATGTTTTGAGGAATTACTTAGTACTATCCTCACTTTATCAGGGAAGCTACTAAAGAAACTGAGGCTTGAAGTAGTGAAAGACCAGAGGCTGCCTGAACTTGGATGAAGATCTGCAAGAGKGCCACCAAAGTGCGTGGTGTTACACTTATCCAGAACTAGGTTACTACACAGCACACAGGAGAGCTCTGTAATCACTCCAAAAGCCTCCAAGTACTGCTGTGGTGGAAGGAATAGAAGTAAAATCTGTATTCTGACTCACAAACCTCTTCCCAATTCACCTGCTCATCAGAAAGAATCAAATCATAYTTTTAGCAAGACAGCCAGTGAGGGGTCAGGAAGAGACTAAATAGCTACASCAAGGTCATAGAGGATTTTTGCAACAGAGAACATCTCTAAGCCCTGATTTCTCAATTTCCAGGATACCACCTTTAATCCTCACATACCTTTAAACAGTACTGATCATAATAGTCAAAATGAATCCAAAGAAAATGTTCTGCATTCCCAGAAGTAGTCCAGTGTCTTAAAGCATCATGTACCTTATCAAAAGAACATTTCAACAGAGAACACCAAGATGACTCTGCAAAAGCATGAGACAGGGTTTGATGCCAGGCACTACCACAGAGCTCCTTAACTCACTTTCTTTTGCTAACTAGATCAACTGTGCATCACACTGATGAGAAGTGTGGAAGTTAAGCCATTTCAGTTCACCCTCTGATACCTGCTGATTGAAGAGGTTAAAACATTTCTTCTCTCCCTCTCAATCACTGCCTTTGTTATATGTTTTTAGAACATTTTCTCTTTCAGAGAAGCAAAGAAAGCTCTGATGAACTTTCTTTCTGGGTATTTCCTACTGGACTTACATGAGGAAAGTTATTTTTATCATGCTGCTTTCTTAAAACAGATAAATTTATCTGCCAGTTTTTGTATGCGAGTAAAATATCAATAAAGTACAGAATAATCCTTTACTTCTTTTAAGAATTTCACAGAAACAAAGATGACCAGTATTTTTGAGGATCAAGACCTGAGAAAAATCTTAAGACTTTGGCTTACACTCCCTACCATAGGACTTGGGTCCAGATCAAGATGCAAAACAAAGAGAAACTTGTGGTATAGTACAGAATGAAGATGATGCAGGGGGAGAAGAAAAGGGTTATGAAATTTTACTGTCATGTTAGCCAAAGAATAACAAACAAAATGGCTGCTCCACATTATAAAATACATTGAAGCYCACTCTATGGCTCAGTGATGTAGTAATGCATTTCCTGTGGGTCTCTCCCCAGCCATATAGCACATTTACTAGATTTAAAACTTCAGGAGTTTTTTGCCTCAGCACTGAAGACTGTCTTCTGGACAAAAAGCTCCTATTTGCAGTCATAATTTTCTCCCTCTCACCAAAACCTTTCAAACATTTTCAGAAATTTTTTTATGAATGGTACTTAAGTGCACCCATCAGTCCTGCCTATTTAATTCTGCTGGGCKTGCTCACCTGTAGTGCCTATTTCTGTGAATTCTTATAAAACCTGTAAATGTTGAATCAATCCAGCATTCAATGTTATAGCCAGCAGACACCACAAAACACAGAAGAAACATGGACTTACGCAGTTCCTCTCGGTGCCTCTCTGTCTCTRCAAAAAACTGGCGAAGCTCCTCTGTGATTTCCATGTTACTCAAGTCATATTCTATCTCCCCTTCAGACTCCGAGTCTTCCTCCATTTCAGAGTCCCTTTCAGCATCCTCTTCCATTTCAGAGTTCTCGTCAGCATCCTTCCTCTCTTGGTAGGCACCTGTGTACTGCTGAGCTCCCCCATGACATGAAACTCTGACATCTGGTCTACAGGTGGAAGAATAGTTTGGGGTATATGGGTGATCATTCCTATCCCAGTCTGAGTAGTGGCTGCTTGGAGAAGTTGCAGCAGGATGCCAASGATGCCAAGGCAGGCGATAAAAGGACTCCATGGCTTTCCTGTAGGCCCTCTGGTGCCTCCGCATCCAGCGCATGGCTAAGTCATAGTGCCTCCAGTACCTTGTGTACACTTTGTGGGAGTACCACGGCTCCGTGTCTTCCTGTGGTCAAAACACATGGGGAGAGGGAAAGAACACAAGAAGATCAACCATGCACCACAGCACCAATGCTCCCCCCCAAAAAAGGAGGTACAAAGAGTCATTGAGGGGACCAACACTGTCAACGCAAGCACAACTCTGCCTTTTAATCCTTAGCCATCCTTTACCTATGATAGAACAAGGAGATTTGGAGAACAACATGTATGAGCACAGAATATGYGCACCATACCTCATTATTCCTACAAGAGACTGTTTTGGCATCAACACAACTACCAGTGAAGAACTGGAAATAGAGAAGTTGTAGTGGTTAGAAGGCTAGTACAGTGGGAATCACTTTGTATTAAGAAATATGCTGTGTGGATGTATTCCACAATTCCTTAGACACTCGCATGAGTTGTATGAACTGAATCACTCCAAGGTGATACAACCTATATCTGATTTCCAAATCCACAGACAGAAAACACAAGAGATTAAAATTCCTTCATTAAACAAATGCATTCATTTCATCCAGTAACATATTTCCCCCATCTGCCTGCCAAAGTTTCTCAGAAAAGGTCAAACAGCAATTCAGACAAGTTCATATATTGACCATGGCCTCAATTAAAAACAAGACTGTATTTAGCCAAATGTAAGCTGCCAGCAAATCTCCCCTTTGTATCTAACACCAACCAAAACATKAAAAGAGGCAACAAAGTGCCACTGATAAAGTACGGAGAAAAACAGTTCTATAAAAGGAAACACACTGCAACACACCTTCTTCTGTCTTCCAGCTAATCTTAGTTTTTCTGAAGAAAGTTTCATGCTGTTCAGATTTCACTGGCAACTACAAAGCCCCACAGTCCCTCCAGCCTTACGCTCCCTWCATACAAAACATTTCTTTTCCCCTCTCATCCTACTCTCAAAAAGCAGGATAACTGAGTATCTTAAAAGAATGCCATAAAGTAGACTAGAGCAAGTTAACTAAATAGCAACTATTTTCTCCATTTCCTTCATGTCTTGATTTCCAATAAATCTTTTATCTGAATTAAAATGGAAGGCTGGTACTTTAAATTGGAAAATTTTAATTCAGCCATATTTTGGCAAATACTCAAAACTAAGGCAAAACTGAGATTTTCAAAGATGAAGATGACATTTACAGTCCTTTATTAAAGTTTTCTGKTTTTTGTGGTTTCTTTTGCTTTTTTGAAGGGCATAAAGGACAAAAATCTTTAAGTCTGTTTTCTAGATCTGCACTGACACCATTTCATAACCTTAAAAAGTATGATTGTCTGGGGAAATAAATCCCAAAGCAAAACAGAAAAATCAAACCTAAAAAATACTTTCCACTTGCCACTATCCAGAGAGATTAATTCAGTTTACTTACATTTGTTTTCACTTTCTCATTCTTGGACAATAATGCACATGCTAGTGAGTTTGGAATAGTAATTGCAACTCTCATGCACCAATTCTTTCTGGAAAATGGAGTCCATTATTCCATAAAAGATCAAAGGTATATCTTTTTAAGGTCATTACTGAATGCTCTCAGAAACAAAATACCTTCAGCTAATAGAGTACATAAAGAAAAACCACCACAACAAACTTACATTCTTTAAGGTATTCCTGACAAAAATAGCAACCTATTTGTGAAGGGCTGTGTAGCTCAGCTATGTGATTTAAAAGTGCAGACAACTTGCCTTTCCTGAAAGGAAAGAATTCATGGAGATGAAAAAAAAGTTACTCTCTTCTTGGTCCAACACTGCACTGCTACAAGACCATGCATTTTGGAGTATTTGTTCCCAAAATGAGTGGGCAGAAGGAAAGCATCTGCCTTCCATATGGAATTTCTTCATCCTTAATCATCCAACTACCTAACAGCTAGGATGAACAATGTTTTATTTACTGCTTCCCTTTGCTTAAGAATGTCACACTGACTCCTCATCCTTCAGCAGACAGATAAGAATATCCTGTTATCAAATCTGATACATTAACAAGTTATTTTTTAAACTTTTTGCCTATTTCTTTTCCTTAAATATTAAAATACTTTAAAATCCAGTTTTGAAGGACCATGAAACTTGACAAAACCAGGTATCTCCCACATTCTATGTATCTGCAAAGAAAACAATATATTCTTTCAAAGCTCAAAAATTATCTCCAGTTCTTCTAAAATGTTTCTAAAAAGGAACTTGATGACTTTTACTGAAAGCTCTGGAATTGAGTTGGCTGATTTGTCTGGCTGACTAGCTCCAGTTGTTAATTTAGGGAAAAGGAAGACAAAAAACCAGTTCATGCAGACAGAATTGTGATGCTGGTGCTCGTCCAACTACTTTTTGTGAGGTTTTTCTTGTTGAAAGCGACCCTTGAAAACCACTCTTACATTTGAATTTTAAAAATACATCTGTTAAAAAAGAAATTACAGAAATGTTTTACATCAGGGTGGAAAAGGGAAAGGAACACTTTTAGTCTCACTTAATTCTGTGTCTGTGCTTTTTCAGCTGTGGAATAAATGGAAATAAGAGATTTCCTCAAGGAAACAAAAGCTATAAATCTAAGGCAAATGATCAGAGTCCTCTGTTATTCTCCTGTTATTTCTCTGGAGTCTTCCCAGGAGTAGACAAATCACTCATTGTTGTAATCTGAATCTGGTCAATTCTATTTCCAAAGCAATTTAGCTACTTTTACATCTAATTTTTACGTGTCTGCACTCACACTTCAATAAAAGTGTTTATATTCATTTTATACATAAAATGTGACTAAGTTATCACAGAGAAACTTGTAAAGACCTCTTACCATCTTTTCTGGAGTTTGTTCTGGTGATGATCAAGGTGAACTAGAAAAGAAAAGAGTAGCCTTTTAATTCTTAAAAATATATGTATTAAGGTGGTCACAGGCACTGAATATATTTTTTGTTATATTTAAGTACGACATACAGCTTTTAAAGGTCTGACAGAGAGACCTTCTCTGTTGTGGTGAGTTGAGGTCTCTTATTTATAAATTTTAATTAGCAGCAGTAAAAATCCCATTCCTTAAAATTCTCCAGTACAGTAAGAAAGTTAAAAGGGAGCCTTCTACAAACTGAGGCCTAAAATGCTGGAACTGAACACTTCTCCCATTGCTCTTCTCTTTCCTTATGTTTCCACAACCTTTATTTTCCAAATTAATGCCAAACAAAAATCATAAACTTAAAGGAAACAATTTGTTCTCACTTTTTAGCTGTGTCTGCACAGTGACTTGTATTAAAAAAAAGCAATTTCCATAAAATGATTAAACCCATCCTGATTCCAATCATGCAGTATGGCTTCTGTTTAACCTGTGGCGCACTTTTGATCACATACAGTCCCTTCTTTCTCTCTACTTTCTTTTTTTTTTCCCTTCAGTATCTGATCCTGCCTCCCATGAAGAAAACACAGGTCAATTCAAGTATGTGAGGAAAAGGCTTAAGGAAGAGGGGCAACTGGATGGGAAAAAAAGAAAAAAGGAAAAAAAATGGTTGTGGGGGTAGAAAGGGAGAACAGCTCTAAAATGCACCACGAAGGATTTGTAATTACCAGCATTTTCAGTCTGGTTTACCAATATGTATCACTGAGAAATATTCCTAATCTCCTCTTATCTGACAATTATTTTATGACATTAATAGGTTAGTGGCTTCATTCACAGATTTCTCCTGACATATGCACCCTCAACCTGAACTTTATTTCAGGTGARTGCCAGTGAAAGATAACAGAAATAAGAGTACATTAAACTACYTATTGCTACTCTTGAGATATGGTCAAATGCTATTCCCAGAAATACTGGAAYACAGCCAAGACAGCAATTAAAATTGTTGTAGATTTATAACAGGATAAAAACAGGGTTTTTCCAAATGCATATGAACATAGTACATAGACCCGTTGTGCTCTGCCTCATATTTAACAATACTGATTCAGAGCAACTTTTTACCTCTAAAGTCAAGRCTTACTGTATAAAAGGAGAATTGAATGGTCAAATAAAATGCAAATCATGCAGAATCCACAAAAACAAATAATTCCTTTCCAAAGCCCACACTAAGATCAAATCTATAAACCCCTGGTAACACCAATCTGTCTACAAGAAGCACTACATACAGGAGCAGTCCCACTGCAAGTGATGGGACAACTCTTGCCAGCAAAGGCTACAGATTCAGGCATTAGGCAACCAAAGCATGTGAGTCACTGGATTCTCTCCTGCCTGCTTGGAGGAAGAAGGAAACCTAGCACTTAGATCACTGCAAAACACTGCAGTGACTTGTAGCATCTGAAACCCCCACATACATAAAAGATTGCTGTGCCATCCCTCTTGGWGCATTTCAAACATTTCCAACCATAGCCTTCTTCAAAACTTTTCTCTCTTCTCTCATGATGTATGCATATACTTTTTGTCTCTTTCCCACGTACATCTGGATACTGTCAAGGCTGCCATAATGTCTTTTGCTCTTACTTCAAAACCTAAGCCCATGGTAGCTGATTCTTTCATTTTCCACTTCAGAAAAGTAGGTGTGTTTAATTCTCATRTTCACTCTAATTTCTACATGACGAAAAATTCTTTGAAATAGCTTCAGCATAAACAGAAATCAGGATCGAGCTTAATGTAAATAATTTTTAAAGCAGTAATTGGTAACATTTGATACTTTATTAACACACAACATGTACATACATATGCTTTCTGAAAGGCAAGGAGGGGAAAAGCCCTGGCAAACCCATCTGACTATATTAGTTTACCAAATATGAAAAACCTGTTTTGCCAAACACGGAAACTTTAATTATTTTCATAAATTATTTATGAAACATTAGACTAGATATAAAACAGAGCATAAAAATGCTGCAAGCGAGGACACTAAATTAAAAAATGAGTTTGTTTTATTTTGAATTAAATTACTCTTCCAAAACAAACTACATGAAATATGAAACATGACAAACAGCAGAAAATAAATGTAATGGTTCTACTTTCATAAATTATACTTTTAAAAACAAAATATGAAACCAACTGATCATAGGAATCTCACCAGCAACTGTACAACTTAAAACAGCCAAGAGATTTGTTTGCTTATACTGATCATTAAAGACGGAATTTTTTTCTACTTTCTTTTCCCAGTTTTAAAATATTTCTCCACTGACAATGAACCAGGGATGTACTTACTCTCTTTCATCCAAACATGTCTGTCCCCTTACTAACTTAAGATAGATGAGCATTAAGATAGGTGAAAATAAACCAATCTGATCAAAGCAGCGACAGCATTTAATTCCCTTGGAGTCAACAGAAACTGAGACAATGTCTGTCACACTRTGAGACATAACCACAACAACCTGGGGTTTATAGCTAAGTAAGTAAGTCCCACTCTGGGACTAGTGGTGTGTTGGGTACAGCTTGGCCACGTGGACGTAACAGCGACAGTCCCAAGCCCAGTGTGGGACCAGCGAGTGTTCCAACACCCATCAACCATTCACAACATCCATCAACACAAGATTAACTAATCTGTTGCATGATATTATGGTAAAAWCATTGTATGTTATTAAAAGATGGTGGAATTTCAAAAAAATTTAGCAGGTTTTAACAAAACATATATATGCAAAGCTTTCTTGTAAAAGCCAACTTCGTTTGAATTAGAAATGTCCCTAAAAACAGACAGCTGACCAGCCCCTCTGCTCACTACTTCTTTTGTCCCTGCTGTGAGAAGTATCTTCCCTCAGGCCAGAGCTGTCCCAGCTCAGTTTCTGGCAATGGTTAGTAAGAGMTACTCAGTAAAATGTGACACTAACATATTCATACAAGAATTACTTTTTCAGGTACATTTCTCCTGACTTCAGCAAGTGGTAGTTTAGACACTTTTTTTCATCTCCACACTGGCTGGAGTAAAAGGTGTTACCAATAAACCTCCTAGAAGTAAATTTCACAGTTTAAGGGATTAAAATTGACTTTGTGCTGTATATTTTAACTCACCCTACATCATACTAGCTAAAAAAATCAGAAGAATTCAGCAAGAAAAGCATGTCACGTAACAATTTCAATAGCGCACATCTTCCCATAAACATTATTTAATTTTATACTTCTGATGCTTAACTCTTGGTGCAGAATTACCGCCAGAAGTGGGAAATGCCTGAAAAGCAGTCTGACATTCTGTGCTTCAGATTAACACTGCACACCGCTATGACGTTAACTTTAATACCGAAGTGCCCCAGTTACAGTCACGCAGAAACACAAGCCTATGAGTGCTGGGACAGTTGGMAGCAAAAGTTATTTTTCTTCAAAAGAAGGGGTAAAAATTCCCAACATGACATACTGCATTCTATTTTGCGAATGGCTGTAAATACACGATTTGTTCAGCACACAGGACACAGTTACAGCTGCTTTTCATCTCAACAGGAGTGTTATAACCCACCTATCACTATGATGTTCACATCAACGTGTGTACAACAGAAGCAGTTCCTGTGAACACAAGGGAAACAAATGTAAGGCAAAAGAATGTTCTCAAACTTCAGCGTATGTATTACAGCTCCTTTGGCCTGAGCAGAAGCCGAGGCAGTGTAATCCCCTGTGGGCCCCCAAAAGAGGGTCTTTATTCCCTGAGCTCCAGGCCATAAACTCAAAAGCTATTTCAGCGAAAACTCAAAGGGAAAAAAWGAAGTGCTAAAAGCTGTACAATTACCAGCAGGCCCAGTTATGTTTAGCTGGTCAGTTTAGAGATAAACAAGGAAAAGGATGAAACTTCTCCAGTACAGCTTTTGAAAGCATAACTAATTTCCTGCTCGCACGGATATCGTGCTAAGACTCCGGCCAGTGACTTTAGGTCTCGCAGAAGGGATGAGTAGCTCTCGCCTCCGGAAAAAAGGCACATAATTACATCCAAGGGCTGGCAGGAGCACAGGCCTTGTGCCCCGGCTGCAGCGCACAGAGCGCCGCTCTCGCCCGAGCTCCCTCAGCGCCGCCTCAGGCCCGGGGCCGGCAAATTGTAGAGAAAAGGCAAAGCCCCGCGCCCGTACCGGTGCCACAACCACCGCCTGGTGCCACAACCACCGCCTGGTACCACAACCACCGCCTGGTGCCACAACCACCGCCCTCGGCCCCACCAGGCGCCCGGGCTTCCACGTGTCCCTCCCGATCCCTTCGCTTTCCCGCTGTCGCCGCCGTTCGCCCCGGCTAACACCGCCCTCAGCCCGGGCCGCAGCCTGAGCAGGGGTACCCGGTCCCCGCACCCACCCGGGCAGCCTGGGGCTCCGGCRGGCGAGGGGAACCGCACAGAGCCGYCTCCTGCGCTCCCTCGCTCCGTTCCGGCGGGCCGAGAGCTCCTTCCCCCGCCGCTTCCGCCCGGCGCTCCGCGGCCCCGCGGCGCCATCTCGTGGTGTTCTGAGGAGGCACCGCCCGGGCCCCGCTGCCCTCAGCCGCCCCATGGAGCCGCTCCTCCCTCACGGAGCCGGCACTGCCAGATCACAGAATCACAGGATTAATTAGGCTGGGAAACACCTGCGAGGTTATCTAGTCCAAGCTATGATCGAACACCAGTTTGTCAAATAAACCACGGCACTGAGTGCCGCTTCCAGTCTTTCCTTAAACACCTCCCTGGACAGTCCATTCCAATATCTATTCATCCGTTCTGTGAAAAAATTCTTCCTAGTGTCCAACATAAACTTCCCCTGGTGCTATTTAAGACTATGTCCCCTTGTCAAGTCTGTCCTCTTGTCCTGTAACTTGCTACYCGGGAGAAAAGACCGAGAAGAGACCTCACTGCAACCTCCTTTCAAGCAGTTGTAGAGAGGAATAAGGTCACCCCTGAGCCTCTTTTTCTCCAGGCTAAACACCACCAGCTCCCTCAGCCACTCCTGATCAGATTTGTGCTCCAGACCCTTCACCAGCTTCGTTTCCCTGCTCTGGCAAATTCTGAGTTCCTGCCGTGCCACCTGACCCCTGGTTGGCACCTCCAGTCCCAGAGCACATTCAATGCTCACCAAGCTGAAGTCTTACTCAAAACGCGAGTGCACTGTGGTGATGATGGTGTAGCACTGCCATACTTTGCCCTCTGGTTATTATTTTTTCCCTAATTAATTTCTAAATTGTCTGTTCAAGTTCTGCACTGAGCTAGTATTTTCACAGGACKGTGTGTGAGCAGTCCCTTGGGTACCTGTCACAACTGACAGAGCAGGGWTTGCATTTTCCCCTGTGTAGCATTTTACACTCTCTTTATTAAATTTGCCAGCTATTACCTGGTGCCATAACGTTGTTGTGTGTTTCTTCATGGTCAATAAATCCCTCAGCTGTACCATATTGAATAGCCCAGTAYCCTCCAACAGACCGTGCCACCCCATCATCTGTGCCTTTCTCCAGACAACTTATGGATGGGCTGKAACACACAAGGATGGCTGCTGCTACTGTTCCTGGCAAGAAGGGCTTCCCTGGGCTTTTCTCTGCCAAGGCTATTTCTCTTCTCTACTTTCCATGCTTTTAATTAATATTTTGGTAGAAGTAATCCACCCATTATTTATCTTTTTCAGCTCTCCTGGTGTGCTTACTGCTCTAGCTGTTTGCCTGTTGAAAATTTCAGCAGTTCATATTGAGACAACTTCTCTTTGTTACCTGCTTTAATTTTAAAAAAAMCCCATAATTTCATATTTAATCTCATTCATATAACAAATTTATATGTTTATTTCCCAAGTATCTGGTGAAGTTATTTTTAAAAATAATTTCTACTAATTTGCCTGGTATGGACATCAGATTTAACACTTCACAAGATCTTCTTTAAAAATGGTAAAAACGATAGGATGTCAATATGTTTTCAGTATATTAAAGAGCACTAACTCATGYCTTCTAAAGTGCTAGTGGCTTCTCCATCATCTGTGTATTCTTTCATCCAGCTACTGTGTCACTGTATAGTTTCCTATGGGAGTCAGGCATCTGTGTRGAGCTGAGAAGCCTACATACTGCATGGATTTTAACTGTGGTCCTGTTCAGCCCCTCCATCACAAGTGTTTTGTGATTTCCCCATGTGTGGCCAAAAAACTCACAGAGAACCTCTCTGTCTCCAAGAAAGAAGTGTATTATACAATCACCAGCCTGCTTTGTCTGATGGGCACCCAATGCCCTCAGGGACTCTTCCAGCTTTTCTTGCTGTTATCTGTGTTTACATAGAGGCACATTTGGGTTGCTTTATGCTCACACATTGCTGAACTGCTGTACTTTGTATGGGAGAAAGGCATCAGGGCAACCTGCACTCAAGTATGGCCTGTGTTGGTTTTGTTAAAGTTACCAGTTTCAGGCAAAGACTYCAAGGAATGCCTCACTGATGCTGCTATGTAGATTTTGAAACTGCAATCAGCTGTTTTTAGTTTTGTAGTATTTCAGTATAAAATACTACTTTATAAAATGTACATTATCCTGGTTCACTGCTTCTTGCTTATTTTCTTCTGTCTATCTTACTTATGCGTATTTGCACTTGCACAGTTATGGAAGCACATAGTGTCTGGAAGCACACAGTGTCTGGAAGCACAGAAGAAGTTATCTATASCTTATGAGATCTACAGAAATATCACATTAAATTAATTTCTGATAATGTAATTTTTTTAAACAGTGAAATCAGTACTTCTTGTCTGCTGAAAACCAATTTTTCCTATGTTTCACCTGATCACTTTCCCTTGATCACTTCTGAATCTTTCACTTCACAAAATTATCTGCTTCTGATGCACCCTTACACAGACTCTCCTACAACCCAACAGTACAGAAAGCCTCACATTAATTTTTGATTGGTAAATACATTTCTTGTACACCCATGAAACATAAAGAATGTAAACTGAATGTAGAATGAAGTAAATACCTCTGCAATTTTCCCCCCAAGCTAATGCTGATGATACAAGCATAGCTCCTATTGATTCCAGCCTGGGATCTTTTCTCACAGGCTGGGGCCCAGAAGCATTACAGGGGAGCCTTGGTTTTATTGATCAGTTTTGTCAATGGTGTCCCATAATGCAGCATGTCCCTCTTGAACTACTTTTTCCATGACTGTGTTCTTTGCAGCTTTTAGAATTTYTCCAATAGGCTGAAAATAAGGACACTATTAGCTGGGAAATGTTTTCTGGCAAGAAAACAAAATTTTGGACTAGACTAGCTATTAGAGTACAGGAATTTCTTCGTAAGAAACAGCACTTGCAGCTGTCAAGTCTTCGACGACATTTGTCTGCTATTCAGATTYGTTAATTAGCCAATTAACTTCATTAACTTATTCTTTAAGAAGCTATGAATTTAATGACTGGAATTGTGTAAAAAAATGGTGTACAAAGTTTAAATCTGCAACACACACAAGCTGAAAGTGTTCAACACATTTGATCTGAAGGGAGATAGTTTCCAGCACACAGAGGCAATGACTGAAAGTTGGAAAGTAGGCAGTAACCTATTTTTCTTGTTCTACTGTTCAAGAATCATGTATCTGTCGCAACCAAGTGTGTGGTTCTGCACAGCTTGTGCAAATTTGTCTGTAAACCATTATTTTGCAAAGATTATGTTATTGAAATGTTGCTCTACTGAGTTAAATATAATCCAAAATAAGTCACCTTTAGAACTGCAGATTGTCCAAGGTGTTGCAATTATTGACTCTGCTTGTTCTTTACTATGACAAAATTATATTTTACATTATTTGTAGCAGATTTTCAATCATGATGCAAATTCTTTGTTTGGATTAAAACAAATCCTTTTTTGGTCTAGCTCTTGTATAATTTGAATCTAYAATTCCTGAAATTTACATGAAGAAATACCCCTTTTGGGTGGTGTGGGGCAGAGTATGTACCTGTGTTTGAGTGTGGGAAACTACACGTGATACTTCTTTTACTTACCTTTAGCTTTCTGAGGGACAGTTTATCAGAGGCAGAGTTGGGGAGAGGTAAAATATTTTTAAGACAGTTTTACTGCTAAAGAAAATATGAAGTGGAGCTGGACTTCTAGACCAAATGCCAATACTTTTATCCAAAGTTAGATGTAGCTCATATCTCTCTTCTGTAGCTCCYATAGCCTCATTGCACATGGTTACTTGCTAATGAATTAAATATCAGCAGCACCKCTAAAAATTTTCCCCACTGGGACAAGGGATAATTTTTTTTGCTGCTTTTCTGTGCTTTCTTACAGTCTGACAGTGATCTCTACACCTGAGCTAGTCACTTCAGATTATAGCCACGGGCAAAGCACAGTAATGCATTTTGGGTGCTGTTCATCTGGTATATGTTGGTTATYTACTTTGGGTAGAAATGAATCACACCCCAGAAGTGCTTTTTTCTTCCACTGATTTTCAAGGAAGCCCCAGGCAATTCTCACACGGTGCTGTTATTGCAGGTGTGTATGTTTACCCAGATAAATCCCATCGAGAAAAACAATAGCAGTGCAAAAACTTACTAAAGGAAAATAAGACCATGGATCATGAGAGAGAAAAGCMCACCGAGGTCAATAGATGGCAGCATTGTAAATGGTAAAGCAGAGCTTTCTGTCTGAAATAGCGGCGCATTGGAGTCTGAACTGGTTACTCCGGAGGAGTAGCAGACCTGCCGAATAGCCCTGACTGCTGTACCTCTGGCTTGCTAAAATATGCTGTCTCCTCTCACCTTTCAGATAGCACTAAGTCTACCTTTTTCTTGAAAGCTGACAAAAAGATCTTGAGCCATGCAGATTTACAGAGTCTGAAAAGCAAAAAAGGGCAGAATATTCAGCTAATTCTTATATTTCCATTCCTGGATGCATAATACTGGAACATGTGGGATAGCAGCTTACARTGATTTAGATCAGATTTTTATGTAGTAATGTGTGCAGTAAGCACACATAATAAAATGTTGTAATATTACATTTTCATCTTTCTTTGAATTTTATTAATTGGTCTTTAGTAACTGAATTTATTTCACGTGTCTTTGTTATTTTGGGCATTATTACACAACAAGAGCATTTAGCAATTTTTGTTAGGAAATACAGATAGCACAGTATTGTTTCTCTTATATGAGAAAGTACTTGTTTCATATTTGTCATTATTTTTAATTGAGAAAACATTAATAATATCCGAAGAGTTTTAAATGCAAGCAATCAGCACATAACATGTGAAGAGGTTATGGTAAGACTGAAGACTGTGAAAACATCAGAATATGTGGCCAGGTTTTGATTCTTTTGCCCAAGGAGAGACTCTGCCTTGATTGGATCAGGTAAGAGTTGTGTATCCAAATGGCTGTGACCATGGCAGTGAGGGATGGGCCTGGATCTCCTGGTAAATCCTGTTGTTCTGTCTAGGCTGAATAGCTTCYATCCCTTCAGCAATTCTCTTGGCTTAAGTGCTATTGCATACRAAC